GCGGCACACATATTACATATTAGGGCTCGATGTGCTGTCGATGGCGAGACAGTACACACTTCTGATGAAGAAGAAAAACTAAGCAATGTTTTGATGTAAAAAGAGGAGAATTTATTATTATTATTATTTTACCATTCATGGAAAAGCATTTGAGATTGGGATTAGAAGGATACTTTTGCCTTTTTTGGGGGGGTGGAGACTTTTATTTAGCGAGAAAACTTTCGATCTATTCATCAACTGTAAAAAAAATATAAAGAATATCAGACCTAAAAATTATATTTGGATCCGTACACCATCTAGCGACAACTACAAGAATTGGAGCCAGCTGAAGGCGCGCCGCCGTCATCGTCCCTTCCTCATGGGAGCCGGGAAAACACTATTATAGCAGATAGTTGGGAAGTTGCCGTGCTATGGGCTTTATAGGACGAACACACCCAGAACATTATGGTGAAGACTTTCTCATACATTAATATTTTTTCTAGCAGGAAGAAACTCATAGAAAATGAAAGGTATGAACTGCTCACGGCAGCACTATCTCGTTTTCTGTTCACGAGATCAGTGTGCACCGACAACACAGACGTCACTGAAACTGCCGGTTCCCTCCCTTCTTAAGCTTTCATGTGTTTTTAATTTTTTTAGATGGGAATCAGGCTTTTATGCTTGGCTATAATCGCAAGCACCAACCTCTGTTTTCAACGCCATTATTTCCTCCGGGTGAGATAAACACTTGATGGGCTACAAGTTAAAAGAAAAACTCGAGGTCGGAACATTTGGGCCAGATAGGCCTTCGTTCCGTCACCATTCAACTGAAGTCATTAGTACTCGGCCCAAGTGCGCGGTGGAGCCAGCGATGGCCGGGGCGAGGACGGACCGGCCGGTGTCGCCGCTTCGTGGACCCCGCCGTCGATACTCCCGATGCGCCATCACTCCCCCGCGCATAAATGTGGCAAGGTCACTTCTTCCCCTCAGCTCCACCCCACCCCACCCACCCAGTCCATTCCCCGTCGCCCTCACGCTCTTCGTGCTCGCCGCCTCCCTTCGCGTGCTGCCTCATGGCTTCCATCGCCGGATCTGCCGTGTCCTTCGCCAAGCCCGTCAAGGTATGCCCGCGGACGCACGCCCCATCTTCAGATCCGCCACCTTGTGTCGTCCGTACGTCGGATCCGTCTGCCCCGCTGGGTTTTAGCTTTCGTGCTGTTCGATCCGTACTCGCCCGGCGGCCCGATCTAGGCACTGTACGATGCGCGAATTTAGTGGTGATTTGGGTTTAGCGACTCTTGTTTTTATTTTTTTGGGACTGCGGGGAGCACCTCATTTTGTGCCCCATTTCAGAGGTGGACTTGGGCAGATCTACTTTTCCGCTAGGTTGATTGATAGGATGCAGACACGGTGTTACTACTTTGATGTTTGCGAGCAAGAAAGAGGAAGAGCAAGTTATTACTACACGTTAAGGGGCTCTGAAATGTTAAGAGGCTTAGATCGCTGCATGTGCAATTAAAGCGTGTGACTTAATGGTTGCTATGGTGGAGCTAGAGCCAACCGAAAAAGAATACTACTCCCTCCGTTCCCAAATACTTGTCTTTCTAGGCATTTCAAATGGACTCAACATACGGATGTATGTAGACATATTTTAAAGTGTAGATTCACTCATTTTGCGCCGCATGTAGTCACTTGTTGAAATCTCTAGAAAGACAAGTATTTAGGAACAGAGGGAGTATAACTCTTGCATCCTCCTAGCACTTAATTTTCTAGTAGAATTATTGAATTGGTATTATGGTATGCTTAAGCGTCCCTATGTGTTATTGGTGGTTGTATTGGAATTTTGGACGCTAGTACTAGGTTGTTGCTTTGCATGCTCCAGAGGTCCCAAAAGTTGGTCCTTGAATATAAATCTTCTTTTGGTATCTTGCCTTTCCTTATTAGGAGACATTTTCTTGGCCCTCTAGTTGGTTCATTTGTAATTTAGTCACTTATGTGGTTGCAAATTCTAGGTACAATGTATATTATACACAATTATTTATTTTCTCTTGTATGTTAACATACTCCCTCTGATCCAAATTAATTGACTCTGCTTTAGTACAACTTTGTAGGTAACATTTTTTTGTGCCTAGTCAAATTTATTTCTGTTAGTATCTTCTCTGCAAATATTCTTTGTACCGTTGTACCGAGGCCAGTTGAAGCTGCACTGTTAGACTTGTGCAGATGCGGGATACTGAATTGCCAGATGGATTGAAGAATTTTGAGAAGAATGTTTGCTCTGGCATGTTAATATTATTTTTCATCAGTAAATAGTGAATATAGTGCAGTGTACTTTTTCTTGGTACACAAGTTTTGTTGCCTCAAGATGTTTGTTTCTTGAATTCCAGGCAATCAACACGAACTCACTCTCTTTCTCTGGTGCAAGGAGGGGCAATGCATTTCTTCGCTTGCAGCCAGTGCCGATGAGATTTGCTGTTTGCTGCTCAGTGAGTTTTGTCCTTTCTCTTCATGCATAATATATCTGAGAAGTTGCTTGATTGTGCTAATGGCAGTGATATTTTTCTGTAGAGTTGCTAAAATTATAATTTCTTATACAAGTTCTCTGTAGTTTTGAACAAATAAATTTTTAGGTTGCCCAAAAGTCACATTATTTGGCCTTGTAAAAAAATGTACTAGTGGTCAGGAATTACCTTTGTGTTCCTTCACTCTAGAAGCGCTTGTTTAAAATTTTGTAATTCACAATGAATCGGTGGACAAATATTTTATTTATTAAAGTGATTCTGCTTTTACTTTTGATAACTTTTGCTGCTCAATGAATCGGTGTACTGCCACTTACCAACATAGCTTGT